TCTGTGGGGCAGTGGGAATGTTCCAGAAAACAACCCACAGCAGCACAGAAGAACCTCAGCAAGGCAGGGTCATTTGGCTGACTAGGTAAGTGGGGTGGCATGTGAGAAATGGCTCTGGGCAAGAGTTTGGGGCATTTGCCCAGCAAACAGGGCAATGCTGGGGCTGTGTCCCTCCCAGTCATGTTTTGTCACCTCCATCTTTGTGTGGACATGCTCTGTGTCGTGTTACAGTGTCCCCAGTTCTGCAGGACTTGTGTGAGCACAGGACTGCTCTCTTCAGCTCATGTCCCTATGTCCAGCAGGAATCATGGGGCTGGACCTTTTAAGGGGTGCAGAACCTCTCCCACAGCCATGGGTTGTGAAGAAAGCCCTGTGGTACAACCTGCCTGTGGGGCCCATCCTAAACCATCCTAAACCAGAGCAGCACCCAGGTAAAGGCAGGAGGCAATCTGGGCATGTGACAGGGCATCCCACATTGCAGCCCCCCAGAGACAGGCAGTGTCTCTGAGACAAGGATGAGCAGCTGGCAAGAGGCAGCTGAAAAGCACAATGGGAGCAAATGTGACCTCCCAGGGACCCTTTGCAGGGAGTGTGCCAGGGGGACTTGCCCCCATGCATCTTCATGGCATCCTGAGCTGCAGCTCTGTGAGCAAAGCCTCTCTGCCAGTCCTGACACCCAGTGCTCAGCTCCTTTGAGGGTGAATTTTGGAGGGCAGCAGACTGAATCCTCCCCCCAGAAGCGCGAGGCTGTTGGGACTGAGCTGTGTGCGTCTCTGTTGCTCTGCTGAGACAAGGTGGGGTGTGGTGAGGGAATGGAGAATGGACACAGCTCTGCAGGACAGATGCTGAGCCCAGCAGCCACTGCAGCCAGGATCTCTCTGCCTAACGAGAGCACATCCTTCCCAGATTCTGTCCCCTGCTGTCACTCTGGGCTGTGGGCTGCAGGCTGCCCTTGTCCTGCCAGGGAGGAGCCCTGCAGGGCACCCAGTGTTAGGAAAGCTCTGACTGACAGGGGAGCTGGATCCTGGACAGAGCTGGACTGGAGATGGATTGCCTGCCTGCCAAATGTGGACATTAGACAGGGAGTTAGATTAATGGGAGATGGCTCTGCCAACAGAGAGGTGAGTCACAAAGCTTGTCCTGTGCTGAATCTGTTTCTCCAATAGGGAAGGAGTAGGAGGATTTAGCAAGATTAATCTCTCACAGAGTTGTGAGAATAGCCAAGATTCATGGGCTCCTCAGCAACAAATTTCCAAGTAAGCAGACAGTACTTGGGCTTGCTCCATGTGACACAGCACAGATCTGCACTGGTAACTCTGGACTTTCCTGCCACTGGTCACAGTAAGACTGACCATACTCCTGTGCTCACACATGAGCCCTGCCAAGCACAGGCTGCACAGGAGCACCAGGCAAAGTGGCTTGAAAGCATCAATTCCCTGAATTTCCCTGAAGTGGTCTGCAGCTGCTATACCCAAAACAAACAATGCTGGACCTTGCACAGAACACAAGAAGGAGCTAAGAAATAACTCCTTTTGGCAGCTGAGAGGAGCTGGTGACACATCAGCTGAGAGAGTTTGCCAGGTCTCTGCCATCTTTGCATGAAGGAAGAGTAGGAGCAGGGTTGGACAAGAGCCAGAGCACCTTTCCTGGTGTGACCAGCACTTCCCTCTGGATTGCAGTTTGTGATCCAGCACTGACACACCTGGCAGGATCTGTTAGAGATAGGGAAGGGAGAGCAGGTTGCTCACAGCTACTTTTTGGCAGATGATGGGGAGCTCTCAGGCACTCCTGTGTCTACCCTCTACAGAACTGAAATCTCCAGGAAGGAAGATGAGGCCAGGAAAATGAAATCTTGGTAAATGGGTTTTATATTGTGGTGAATGGGGTTTATGTTGTGTTTTAAGGAGCTGTGGAGAGAAAAATCTCAGTGCTAGTGAAACAGAGAGAGTTTTTTTGGAAAGGGAAGATTTTCATTCCATGTTGGGAGTCCTGTTTCTTTCTGATATTTCTTCAGTTGTTCATGTCATGGCTCTTCAGTCTGAGCAGTTTTACAAATGTGTTGTGGAGATGAAAGCACCAGGGAAAGCAGCTCAGGATCAACTTGGAAAAGCTTTTAACTTTCAACTCCTTACAGACAAAGGCACAGAGAGGAAGGGGGGAAGTGCAAAGACTGGGAAAAGGAAGAGGAAGAAGCAAAAAGAGATAAGGAGAATAGAAGAGTGAAAGGGACAGAGTAGAGAAGACAAATCACAACAAGAAAAGGAACAAGGCACCAGCAGAAAGAAAGGGAGAGATAGGGAGAGAACAAAGCAAAGGGCCTGGAGCTCAATGAGATGGGGAGAGTATAACAGAGTAAGGGAACAGCGATGCAGGTAGAGGAGAGCTAAAAAATACAAAAGAGCTATTTAAATGCTGGGGTAAAGCAGTGATGAGAATAAGAGGAAAAGAGAAGCCAGATGAGGACTAAATTCTCATGGAGATAAAGGGGATGGCATCAAAGTCAAAGGATAACTTATCCATCCTTCTGTCACTGCACATATAAGGCATGACATGAAAGTAACATGTCAGCTTCTCAGAGGGGCTGAGACACAGCTGTGGAGGCTGCATCCAGTGTTCATGGGGAGCCACAGGAGAGATCACGTCACGGGTGGTCCTTAGTTCTCCTGCTTTGCATCCTCCATCTCTCCTTCCCCGTGGTACCTGCTGGCCATGTGACCTGGGCATACTCTGAAGCACCACTGATTTCGGGTGTCATGGAAGGACTGTCAGAAAGTGCCTGTGGTGCTCTCCAGGGCTCGTGTGGCAGCTGGGTGGGACAGGCTGCCTGGCCTTACCAGCACCTGCATGGCAGCAGCAAGAGGGCACGGAATTATGGAGTCACAGGATGGTTTGGAAGGGACCTTTAAAGCTCATCTAGTCCAACCCACGTGTGATAAGCAGGGACTTCTTCAACTAGATCAGGCATGGAGCTGCTGTGCCACAGGGGAGGGGGCAATGGGAGGAGAGACAAATCTGTGTCTTCAGATCAAGGGAGTCTTAGCAAAAACAGGCTGGAAAGGGCACCATGACTACAGACAAGTGCTGGGACCATCTCTTTCCAGTATCACACCAGCTTACTGGATGCTTTCAGGCAGGTAGTCTCAATTCCACCTGCACTGTGTGAGGTGACCTCTTGGCTGTCCCAGGGAAAGGATCTGGGTGTTCCCAGTGCCAGTGTCATAGCTGCCACAAGAGCCTTGCAGCTGTCCCAGGGCTAGATTGGCACTGAGCACACGGTCTCTGTTTGCAGACTGTGTTAGCAGTGCAGCAGCTGTGCTCCAGGCTTTGCTCCTTTCCCTACAAGAGCATCAGGCTCAAGTGGGATCTACTTTGGCAGCAGTGCTTGCAGCTGGCAGGTCTCTCAGTCTCACACTGGGATTGAGGACATTTCTAGATGCTTCTGTGTCTGAAGGGGCTGATGTGCAGCATTTTTAGGATGTCTTCAGGGCTCCCTTGGCTTTTGAGGGTGGGGGTCATGCAGCAGTAGGATGGTGGGAAGCCTTGTGCCAGCCTGTGCAAAGGTAGGAAATAAAGATGCCAGAGCCTGCTGCTGGATATGTGTCCTGCTCATCTTTTGGTCCTGGAAAGGAAGAGCCACTCCTCCTGGATCTATGCTGTGCTTATAAGCCTCTCTTTTGCTTTCCACCCACCCCTCCCTCATCTTCAGGGCACCTGCCTAAACAGGAAGCACCAGATCCACATAGTCTGTGGATAACCTGCTACTGGGTTACTAGTGTTTCTTGACCAAATTGGCCAAGCAGAGGATTTGTTTGTGTTGTACACAAGGTGCTGTACAGATGGAGCAACACCGCATTCCCTCCTCTGGTGTTCTCTTATGTTCTTTTCAGGGCCAGACTCCAAGTTCAAATAACAGAGAGTGCCATGGACACAGGAGAGCATTTTCTCCAGGTAAGATGTGTCTCTGGACAGTGGAGACTGGGAAATGTCCCACTGGAGTCTGTTTGCCTGAGCTGTGACTAAAACGTTACTTGCAAGAGCAGATTTATCCATCCCCAAATACAGTACTGCAGTCTCACCAGCCTTGAGCTTCTTCCCTGCTTCCATCTTCCACTCTCCCAGAGTGGTCTGTACACCCAGCATCCCACTGCTGGTGGGTGACTCTACTGCAGGCAACAAGCCTGCCACTTCTGTCCCTGCACCCTCAAAATGCTGCTGGGCCAGGACAGTGCCCACCGTGCATCGAGCAAGACTCTGGAGAAGGCACCAAAGAGCTGAGGTGGGTGCTGAGGATGCCAGTAGCCATGGCCACCTGGTGCACGGTGGGAGGGGGTCTGACAGCCTCAGCCTCAGCCCCAGAGATGCCCAGAGCCCCGCCACGATGCCACTGGGCCATCAATGCCTGGCACCATTCAAAGGCAGCAGAAGCGTGGGATGGGGTTTCTGTCCCTGACCTGTCTGATGCTGTGGCAGCCCGGCTCAGTCCTGTGCTCCCCGCACTGAGTTAGCTCTCAGCACCGGGCTCAGGAGGGCTGGCCCTGACCTGGCGGTGGCCAGGTCTGCCCCTGCCCTGTCCGCGCCCTGCTCCCGCCCCCGGGGCGGCCGGCAAAGGCACCGAAGCGGCGGAGACGATGCGGGCGCCCGGGGTGGGGAGCGGAGCCGAGCTGCGGGCAGAGCCTCCCCGGCCCGCCGGGGGCCGCGCCAGCCCGTGGGGTTGCGGGGCCGCTGCCGCGGGGCCGGGGGCGATCCCTGGGGCGGGTCCCTGGGGGAGGCTCCGGGGCCAGCCCGGGGCGCGGACCCGGCGCTGCATTCTCAGAGTCTCCAGCAGAGGCTGGGCCGGGCCGGGCAGGGCAGGGCTGGGCTGGGCTGGGCTGGCGGAGAAGGAGGGGAGGCAGGCAGGGAGCGAGGGGGAGGAAGGCGGCTCTCGCCGCACATGCAGCCCCCGCCGCGCACCCGCCGCCCGCGCCCCGCCCGCGCCCTGCCCGCCCGGTGCCAGCAGCCGGCTCCGCTCGCCGCCGCCGCTCGGGGCTCCGCGCTGCTGCCGGGGCTGCGATCTGCTCCGTGCCCGGCTGCCGGGGCTCCGCTCCGCTCTGTGCCCGGCTGCCGGGGCTGCGATCCGCTCCGTGCCCGGCTGCCGGGGCTGCGATCCGCTCCGTGCCCGGCTGTGGGGGCTCCGCTCCGCTCCGTGCCTGGCTGCGGGGCTGCGATCCGCTCCGTGCCCGGCTGCGGGGGCTGCGATCCGCTCTGTGCCCGGCTGCCCGGGCTCCGCTCCGCTCCGTGCACGGCTGCCGGGGGTCTGCTCCGCTCCGTGCCCGGCTGCCCGGGCTCCGCTCCGCTCCGCTCCGCGCCGCGGGGCCGCGCAGGATGCCGCGGGAGGCCGAGCGCCCGGCGCGGGGGAGCCGCCGCGGCCGCCGCCCCAGGTAAGAGCGGGTGCGGGCGGGGTTCGGGGCCGGCGGGGCGGGGGAGCCCAACTTCTCCGTCCCTCGCCGCGCCGCAAACTTTGCCGCCGCTCGGCGGGGCTGCGGCGGGCGCTCCCCGCGGGTGAGGCGGGCTCGGCCCGACCCCGGGGTCGCCGCCGCCTCGGGCCGGGCAGCCCCGCGCCCCGGCGTGCCCCGGGGTGCCCCGGTCTCCTCGGTGTCGGCGGGCGAAGCCAGAGGTTTGATGCCTCCGGCGCGGCCGCGCCAGCGGCGGGTCCGAGCACACCCTCCAGTTGAAACAGTCCGGTGCTTGAAGAGCTGCGGCTCCTTTTTTAACCGGTGGTAGCTTAAAACATCCTCTTCGGGCTCCTTCCTACCCAAGATCCATCTCCCCATTTCTCTGGCTGAGACCAGAGCCTTCGCACCCATTCCGTGCCCATTCCGCACGGAATTTGCCTTGGGCGCCTTTGGATGTGTGGCTGCTGTGCCCGAGGAGCCCAGCGGGAACCCTTTAGAGCCGGCCGGGTAACGTCTCTTTTCACAGAGCCACATTTTTTTCTAATAACAAACTAAAAATAACTGTTCTAAAACTAGCACTTTCCTCATTTAAAATGTGGTTCCCAAGTGGCTGTGCACAGGCCTTCTGGGAGCGAGATGTGCAGCCGCATCTGCTCCCTGGCGTGCCCTGGCCCAGTGCTGCCACGCCAGGTGCCTCTCACCGGGGAGCCCACCCTGTGGCACCTGGGCTCCTGCGGGCACTGGCGGTGGGTTTGGGAGTGGAGAGATGCAGTTGATGCCTCTTCATTTTTATTTGGTTTCTGACTGTGTTAGCATCCTGCACAATCTGGGGACATCTGCCCTGTCTTCTCATCTAACCTGGTTTTATGCATGAACAAGACCAGTTACAGGAGTGATGGTGTCGACAGCAGTGAGGAGGGGCAGGCTCAGGAGTTCAGACATAACTTCATACGACAGTGCACTGCACCTCAGGGAAGCCTTTGGACCTGAGAGGGCTGTGAAGGAAGGATGGGTGGCTCTGCCAGAGCTCTGATTCTCCAGAGCTTGTTTTCATGGCCTGAGGAAATAAATGGGGGAATGTGCCTCTCTGTCCCTGCTCCTGGGTTGGTACTTGCACTGTAAAAATGCTGTGTTGCAACACAGTCTTGCATACCACTGAGGAAATCTCAGCTCAAGACTGTTTTTTGGGACCTGTTTCTGTCTCTTCAGAGTACCCAATGCACAGAGCATGGCTGAAGCCTGCAGTCTCTGTACTCATAGATTGCATGCCCAGCTCAGAACCTGGGCTTTGCCTGGTTTTCCCTATGAGGTCAATGGATGCTCTCCACTTCTTTCAAGAGCACTGGGTAATGAGTATTTGCAGCAAACAATTATCAGGGTTGGAGATCATTGTCCTGGTACGTGAGTTTTTAAATGCTGAAAATAAATTGTTTCTCTGGCTTTAAGTCTGAAACGGTTTCTCTGTTCTGGTTCTGTGTTTGTTTGTGTTCAAGGCCAAAAGGTGGTTCTGCTGCTCATTGATGAATTCCCTGAAATGTTGACAATACCCTGAGAGTAGCACAGGGTAGAGCCCGCTGAAATCTAAATAAGGTGGCCCAGATTCTGTGCTGACTTTTGTCTCACGTACGCCTCTGCTCCAGTGAGGTGAGGGTCAGATCAAGTGAGGTTTGGTCTCTGTATGAAAAGCCGATTGCTGAATAATACAGTGCTGAAATTGGTGGGCTTATGAAAGAAAAAGTATGTGCTGTTTCATAGGTAAAAAAGCCAGTTTTGTTCCTTCGGAAAAAAAGAATGCCCTTTGCTTTTTGGTGCATTGACACTTTATAGTATGATATAGTGATTTCATACTTATGACAGAGAAGTGGCTACTGGAACAAGGTCAGTTTTAAAAGTCTTTTTCAAAAGAAGCTAGCAGGACTCCAGGAAAAAAAAAAAAAAAAAAAGGAAAGAAAAGGTTGTCTTTGGGTTAAAAATAACAGTTAAAATGCTGTTCTTCCTAGCTCCATCACAAAAATATTATATTTTCATGATTTAAATGCAATGTCATGTTTGAAAAATTCATAGTTCTTTCTTGTGTGTAAGGATTATGAGAAAAGGGTCACAATTTACTGTTGTTTATATTCTCTGGTCAGCTTTTGGTGTTTTTTTGCATTAAAAATAATATTGAGCTAGGCAGGATATTTTTGTAGTAAATTTTACTTTTGTGCTGATAGTCACTATCCCATAGCAGTAAAATTTGGCTGGAAATGTTGCAGAGAGAATGTTTGTTTATTTGAGGCCCCTTTTTCAACCCACAGACTTTATTTCATTAGAAGGATTAGATTGTTTGTGAAAGCTTTGAAACAAAACTGGACTTCAGGTGGGATTTAATCTGCTGTTATTCCTTCAAAATACAATTACTTATTTTTTCAAATAATTAGTTTTTATATTTTAAAAGCCCACATTTCAAAAGTAAAGGAAAACAGATTGAAAAAGAAACAGTGTGGTGACACTTGGGTTCTTCTGACATCATGTCGCTAAAGAGTATTGGTGCATAAGGATACAGCCATGTATGAATTTTTGTTATCTTTTAACCATGTGGTTATGCAACTGTGTTTGGGTTTACAAGCAGTGACACTTCTCTGCAGATAAGTCCATGCATATCCCGAGGCACAGGCCATTTTGAGTGATCTGCTTTCTTGAAAAATTACATGTAAAGATGAGGTGGGTGTGAATCCCAACCAGATTGCTTGCCCGAGGCTGTAGGTGGACACGGTGTACAGCTCCTTGCCGTTCTCAGGATCTCTTTTGTCTCTAGCACCAGCTTATCCCATGGTGTTTCTTTGTGGAAGAGGTGCCCGATGGGGAGGGATGTCCCCAGCTCAGCCTCAGCCTGTTTGTTGCTCTGGGAATGTCCTGGCATGGCCAGCACCGTGTGCTCTTTGCTCTGCGGGCAGCAGGGTCCCCTGTGTCACCTTGCTCTCAGGTGTGCCCTGGGCTGCAGGTGAGGGCACAGGGCTCTGTGCTTTGGCTTGGCTACTGCAGCATTCACAGGGTTTGTGCCTGCATGTCCCTGTGAGCTGTGTTACTTGTGAAGTCCCAGCTCTACCCCAGCAGAAAAGCCAAGTCTTTGTGGCTGGATTTCAGCAGCAATTGCTGTAGACATGGAGCATAGGGTTGGACTTGGACTTAGCTGTTCACCCAACATGAGCTGAGTGTCCACTGCCTGCTCAGCTCTGTGGGACATCTGTCTCTGCAGTTGTGTCCATTTTTAGGGTTAGTTTCTGCTCTGGAGGGCTCAGGCATGGGGCTCTCTGCTCCTGCTGGCAGCCTGCAGAGACCCATCCTCCCAGTTAGTTCACAGTTTCTTTTTCATTTAGTCATCACTTTCTATTATTTGCAAAGTCCATAAAAGGAATACAGCACATTACAGTAATTTTCAATTTTATCCTTTGCAACAACTCTTCTTTCAGAGACTAGTCCAGGCTTTACTTTAGCCTGGCTCTGTATCTCTTGCATTTTTCTTTCTTTTTACAGTCCTTTGTGCTGTGGCAGGAGGAAAGGAGTTCTGGTTTATCCTGTCAGGGAATGGTTGTCTGATGGCATTTTTGTACTGGTTCTGCAGGACAATGTCTGGGCAGCAAAAGTGGATCTTTCTGCAGCAGTGTCTGCCTTTTGTTACTCCATAGGGCTGACTGGGATGCCTGCAGAGGGTTTAGGTCTCGTTCTGGATCTTCTCGGTGGTGCTGTTCCTTAGATCCTCTTGCAGTGTGGTTGGAATTCTTCTTGCAAATGGATGTCTCAGCTCTTTGACAGCATTACAGCACCTTCTTCTGAGGGCCTGTGGGATGCTGTGGGCCTGAGCAAGTGGTAGCTGGCAGCTGGGTGTGGGGCCCAGGGCAGCCCCAGAGCTCCCTTAGCTATTGATGTTTCCTGGTGTGTGTACAGCAAACGGGGGTGCAGGACTCTGCTGGGAGGTGGGAGCACAAGGAGGGACTGTTCACAGCACATGGGTTGTCTGGGGGTGCCTGTGCCTCCGTGGCTGGGCATTTTGTCTTCATAGGGGTTTCCAGGTGCTGTCTCAGCTACTTCCACACTGCTGGCCCAGCCTCGGTGCTGGTGAGGGCAAACCCCAGTGTCAGCTGGGGGTAGCTCTCCTCAGACCTCCTAGAAGGCATCTTTGCCTAAAAGCTGGGGGACAGACCCTGCTAAGCTGAGGCCCCAGCATTTTTCTTCTTGAAAGCAGGTGTAGTTGTGCCCTTGGGTATAGGAGAGGCAGCCAGCTCAAAGCTGGTCCATCTGTGCTCCAGCCCAAGGGCCAGGTTCGACTGGATCATTCATTGCTGCAACACCTACAAGCTGAAAATCAAGGTGCTTTTCAGAACGTGTCTCCTTTCTGCTGGGTGCCCCATCTCAGGATAGCTCACTAAACATGAGGCAAAGTTGCAATACTCATTGCAGGAAGGGAAGCACTTTTGTGTTCCCAGTCCTGTCCTCCTGCTCTTGTCTGGGAAATCTGCAGTTGCCTCCTCTCTGCCTGCAGTGCCCTGTTCTGCTGTCCTGCTTTTTCTCACTGCCTTGCTCTGGCGGTGCCATCCATGAGCCTGGAGAAAATAAACCCAACAGAACTCATCCAGTTTTGACTCTACTCAGTGCTGCACTTCCTAATTTCAGATCTCTTGTGGGAGAGCCATGCTTTAGCTCACACTCCTCGGGGCTGAAGCTGTGGGCTAAGTGCCTGTTAGCACTGCTGTCACACTGTTGTGGGCAGGGTCTGCCCCCCAGACAAAGCCAGCTTGCTTGTCTCACGCTGTCACTGCTGTCATGTGTGCTGAATTTGGCCCTGCCTGGCTCATGATGAAAGCTGTGGCTGTGATGGAGGTGATGCTGGGCCTGGTGCTTCTCAGAAGCACCTACAGATTTGTGTCTGCCCTGTAGGAGCATTTAGTGAGGTGCCCTGTAGGAGCAGAGCCAGGAGCTCTGCTAGGGCACTGGTGTATCAGGGC